AGGGAAGGAAACTGAAGCCCAGATGTGTTAAGACACTTGTCCAAGCAAGAAAGTGGTAGAGATAACATTTGAACTTCACCAGAACAGAGTCCATGCCCTTAATTTCATAACATTTTGCTTATGCAGTGAGAGCACAGAAGAGGCTAGGAAAGAATCCACCTTTGAGGCTAAAGCGTTCACGATGGGACACGGCAGGGTACATGTGAGTGGATCTCAAAGGGTGAGTAGGATTTTGTCCAGCGGAGCTGGAGAAGGAGCACTTGACAGAAGACAGGGCATGAGCAAGGCGGCCTGGAGGGAGTAGGAAGAGGGGAAGTGTGGGCAGGACTGGAATGTCCCACTGAAGGGAGTGTCTCTGGTGGTCTCTTAGGTGCTTGAATATTAATCCCAGAGTATAAAAAAGTAACTCACGTGCTCTGTCCTCAGCTTCCTCAGTCAAGGGGCTGTTGCAAACATTGAACAAGATACCACACTAAAAGTATCCGCACACTGCTTGGCACACTGGAAGTCTCCGAACGTGTCAGTTATAATGATTAATTATTATACAAGTAAGTACAGCTGCTCTCTTACATTTCTGTATTCAGCACACGTCTTTGTTTCAAATGGCAAATGTTTCCACTTTTGTGTTGGAGACTCATGTCACCATGCAACGTGCAGGGGTCTAGCTTGCACTGGTTTCTGCGAAGCTGGACCCAAGGACTCAGACAGGGCGAAGTCTCTCATCTCTGCCTCCCTGTCTGAACCGCACTGTCTCCGATATATACTGCAGTCATGGTGGCCAGCAGCTGTAGAAGCTCCCATTCTTACCACCTAGCAGGAAGGCAGTCATTCTCTCTGGCTCTGAGTTTAATAAACATCAGGGAAGCTCCGATAGATGTAACATGGACGGAGAGGTGGGGGCCAGTAAGCCTGGGGAGCACGCATTTGAAACACAGGATAGATGAGGTCTGTCTGGAAAAAGTTCAGCCATTGTTAATATAACAAGAATGGTTTGCACAACATCGATGTAACCTGGCAGCCAAGGAGAGTGGACTGGAATGCACGTGTGTGAACAATGACAACTTCACTGTACTAGTCAGTGGGGGCAGTAGATGCCGTTGAGCGAGCATGTGTGCTGTGTGGCTGTCCCATTCAAAATGACTGAGTGAGTAGAGCAATGGATCTGCATCAGATTTTGCATTAAGCCTGAACATCTCTCCACGGAAACTATTCAGATGATTCAGAAGGCCGCAGCCATGGGCAACTGGTGACTGGCAGCTTCATCACAACAACATGCCTACTCATGCATCTCATCTCATGCAGAGTTTTTGGGCAAAACATTAAATCCCCCAGGTGACTCAGTCCCCCTATAGCCCAGATTTGGCGTCCTGCAACTTCTGACTTTTCCCAAAACTAAAATCACCTTTGAAAGGGAAGGGATTTCAGACCATTGATGAGATTCAGGAAAATACAACAGGGCAGCTGATGGCGACTGGGAGAACTGTGTAAGGTCCCAAGGCGCCTGCTTTGAAAGGGACCGAGGCGTCATTGTCCTGTGCACACTGCTTCTTGTATCTTGAATCTTCTTCAATAAATGTCTCTATTTTTCATATGACATGGCTGAATTCCTTCTGGACAGACCTCGTATGAGGGGAAGAGAGGAACAGGACCATTTCCCAGGAGAATGAGGCATAGACCTGAGCAGATAGAACAACAGACAGCACCCAAAAAAGTACATTCTTACACATAGTGCTTTTTGCATAGGGACAGAGGCAGTGTCCTTTGTTTCTTAAGATCTAACGTCACAATTGGACGCCGTGTGTGTGCACGCGCATGCTCATGCCTGCCTGTGGGAAACTTGTTTTTCTCTTTGGAGTTTTGTAAGATCTTCTTTTTGTGCCCATTGTTCTAAAATTTCCTGCCCGTGTACCTTGGCATGGACCAAGTTTCATCTCATTTTCTGGGAACTCAGTGAAGCTTACTATGGTAATGAATGTTCTTCAGAGTTCTTGAATTTTTTTGTTTTGTTTTGTTTTTAGGATTTCCTTCCTTATTTCCTCTGTTCTCTCCGGAACTCCCGAAATGCAGGTCCTAGACTGGCCCTCCAGTTTTCTGGTAACTTCTCTTTTCTTTTCCATCCCTTTGTCGCTCTGCTCCGCCTTCTGTGACAGTCCCATAACTTTATAGCCAACTCTTCTGTTCTAATTTCCATTGCTATGATCATAACCTTAATTCTGAGAGCTGTTTTATATATAAAACATCATTTGACACAGAAAAAAGGTCTGAACTTCTTAGAGCATCCTCATGTGTAAAATAAAGAACAGAGTTCTTTTTATGAGATCGATTTTTACAGTATCAGGTCCGGCTCAAGAAGCTGGTTTTCAACTTCACACAATTAATAGCTAAAACCAAGACGCCTTTGTGCAGTCGCCCAAGCTCTGATTTTACTGGCTTACATGGAGCCAGTCAACGCTGCACCTTGGACCAAAAGAAACGCCACATGTGGAAGCGGTGGAAATGGAACAGGTGCTGCCTTAGACCCACACTGTGCCATTAGTGGGCAGGTGAGTGTGTCAGATGGTTTGGCTTCAGTCTAGAAAACTGTTAGTTCCAATAAAGCTTTTCTTGTTGATTGATGCCCCTACAAGCCTTAGCGATTGTTAGAATTCCCAAAGAGAAATGTCTGAAAGAACATCCGAAGCTCCAAGACAACCTGCTGGGGGCACAATATTCAAAGTGGCAACAGATGCTTTGAAACACAGGAGGTATTTTGGAAACACTGCAAGTCTTAGTACGAGGGTGCAGACAGGAAGGTGTGCAGCTGTACCTCAAGAATTCCTTTTAGGAAACCAAAGAGGCAGGAAATACTTGTCTCATTTGTACCAGAGCTTCCCTATGTAAGCCTGTAGATGTTTGCCTGTGGATCCGAATTCCACATGAAATGAGGTTATCAAAAACAATGGCTCTGAGTAATACGAGCTGCTACGATCTCTTCTGTTTAAGATCAGAATAACACTTCCGATACAGTATCTTACGTTAAAGTACATGTGCTTCCAAGGGACAAGTTTATGGTTTAAATAAATACAGTTTATCAATAATTCTTACTTTTCCAAAGTGTTGAAGATTTTTTCTAAAAGGTTTTATTCATTTGACATATTTTTGAGAACCTAGTTGAACTTAGTCCACAATTTCAAAGGCAGCACGAAAATAATTCGCTGGTATTGGAAATGTCCACAAATCCAAGGCAAAATTCAACTTTGGGACACTGAGGTAGCAAATGGTGTGTTGGCGGTATGTGGAGCAGGAGAGGGATCGGAGGGTCTCCCTCTTCCACAACAGTGTCAACGAGTCCCCAGTTTCTGGGCCCATCCTCATGCATAGACCGGGGCCGCCTGGTTCTCCCGCCTCCTGAACTCTGGGCATTTGCAGCCGTGACATCAGGTGGGTTCTCACTGCGCCCTGGCCAGCTTTAGAGTCCGCCTCAGTCACTTCCTTCTCATTTTAGTGAGAAGTGTATGTGTAGTCTACCATATTTAACTGGAAATAAACTGATTTTTTTCAAACTTTTTTTAAAACCAGAGGACCTTCATTATTTTTTAGTGGGAAATCCCTTGGAAGTCCAGTACATTAAAGAGAAAAAGTGGGGCTGCTTTGGTTGGGGTGGGAGTGAGGTGCTCTCCACGTAGGGTGTTTTCTGAGTCCGTTACTCTCAGCGCCAGGGTGTCCAACCTGGGGCCCACGGGCCACAGGCGGCCCAGGACAGCTATGAATGCAGCCCAACGCAAAATCGTAAGTTTACTTGAAACCTTTTTTTTGCTCATCAGTTTTTGTTGGTGCTAGTGTTTGTGTATTTAATATGTGGCAAGGCAACTCTCTTCTTCCAATGGGGCCCAGAGATGCCACAAGGTCAGACACCCCTGGACCGGCATTTCACTTGACTTGATTTGTCTCAATTGGCAGCAATAACGTACTTTTTCTCCGCCAGGCCCGGTGCTAGTTCCTGAGAAGGCAGATATGGACGACAAAGTCCCTGGCGTTAGGGAGTTCACAGTCCGGTGGTAGAGACAGACATGTATGTAAGGAATTATGAGGTTTCAGACCACCCAAATGAGAAATGGCGGGGAAATGAGCAGGAGGGTGTCTTTCAGTTGCTCCCAATAGACACCCACTCAAACTGGCCTAAGCGGGAAGTGAGAGGGCTTGTGAGAGCACCCCTGCCCAGTTCCCGGAGCAAGCCCTGCAGGCAGGCAGGAGGCTGGACCCAGAAAGCAGCGAAGCCACTCCTCTGTTTGCAGCTGTCCCCTGGCAGGCACATGGCCTGTCTCCTCTGCTGGTCACTGTTGGAGTCATTCTTTTCTCTGGTTTTCTACGCCTCTTTGCAATCTATCAGTAAGTTCCGCTGGCTTTACTTTCAAAATATAGCCAGAATCTGACCCTTTTCACCAAGTGCTGTTTCTCATCGCAGCCACCCTCACCAGGAGCCCGGTGCCTTGCGGCGGGCCTTTCTAACAGGTCTCCCTGCCCCTGCGGCCACCTGACTGATCACGCTTCAGCGGGCAAGTCAGGTCATGTAACTCCTCTGCTCGAAACTTCCCTATAGCTTTCTCACTCTGCAGATCCAGCCCCGGGGGTGGCTTCTCTGACTCTGTCTCACACTCCCCTCCTTCCACTCCGTCCCTGCCACAGTGGTCACCAGACACATCCCCACCTCAGGGCCTCTGCTGTTACTGTTTGTTCCCTATGGCTGGATTGTTCTTCCCTCAGGGGCCACATGACTGGCTTCCTCTCTTTCCTCAGATCTTTTCCCAAATAGGGACTTCTTCCCCCACCCCCACCCCAAATGAGACCGTCTTGGTGGAGACTTCCTGAACCCCGCAGCTAGCATTTCCACCCTTCCCCTCTCCTGTCCCACTTCTCAGCTTTATTTTTTTCTCCTTAGCTCCTATCACCAACTTTATTTCTCTTATTTCTCTTGTTTACTGTCTCTCTCCTACTAAAACGTCCCCTCTAAGAGGGTTTGCTTTTGCGCCTTCCCAGCACCGACAGTCACCCGACATGTTGCTCAACAGACATTTATTGAAGGAATGAATGAAAGTCTGCGTCCCTCTTTCTCTCTGCAGCCTGTGCTCTTGTTCCTTCTTCTCCTTCTTGTTTTCTTCAGCATCTGGTGGTAAATTGCTGGTCAATTCTGGAGCTCTGTGGCAAATTCGAAATTCTCAGCACGAGGACTCTGATTGGCCCAGTTTGAGTCAGGTGTCTCCCCTGGACCACATCAGCTATGATCCCTGGGGTGAGATCATACACACCCTTCTCCGTGATCAGGGTCAGCTCCCAGAGCATGGGGGCTGGACAGGCAGCCCCAAGTGGCTCTGTGAGTGTGAAGAAGCAACTAACAGTTTATCTAGGAAGCAGCAGCTGCCATCTCAGTTTTTTAAACAAGAGGGGGAAACTGTATTTTTAGTTCCTTTTACATTTGTGACAAAATGCCAGTCAAGATTTCCTGCCACTTTCCACTTCTCCCTGACCTGACCTTTCCCAGTTCCCGCCGTCCTTCTTGCTGCTGTGCTGGCCAGAGGCCAGGGAGGAAGGACTAGGATGGGTCCCTGGTGGAGGGTCAGACTGTGCAGAGGCTCAAACTGCCCACAGGCGGAGGTGATGGGGGGCAGTGGGGGGGGGGCAGCTACTAACCGTGAGTGGCTGATGTTGGTCTGGAGACAGGCAAACCCAGGAGGCCCGAGAGCAAAGCAGAGAGGGCAATAGAAGCTGCCTGACCGTGTCTTTCCAGGTCTCCTTGTCCCTTAGGCACCCACCATTTGCTGAGCCTCTCGTCCATGCTTGGAACCGTGCTGGTCCCTAGGGATGTGGAGGAACAAGGCAGACGAGGGCCTCTTCTGGTGGAGCTTGCATTCCAGTTGGAGAGAAAAACATGAAATGATAGTCATATGGATGCTTCATCCATTAATTAGGAGCGTACTTACCAATGGGAATTAATGACAAGACTAATTAGTTATTTATGGGTGCCCCAGAGGTAAAGCACTGCACACTATAAAGAGGTATGACAAGGGATGTTGCTCGGCCTGGGGCCTCAGGGAAGCCTTTTCTGTTGGGACTTCAGACATAAGTAGGAGTTCACTAGGCAAAGTGGGAGGGAGAAGAATATTCTAGAAAAAAGAAGCGGGTTATGTAAAGGTCCTGAGGCAATTAAGAGTTTGGCAAAGTCGAGTGACTAAGGGGCGTCCGGTATAGCTGGAGCGTGCTGTACCTGCGAGAGCAGTGAGCGTGAGACCAGGCAAGTGGTGGGCGGGGCCAACGCCCGCTGCACTGGTAGCGGTGGTAAGCGGTTTGATTTTATTCCAAGTGCAGCGGGAAGCTTTTCTGCAAGGGCCCTAAGCAGGGGAGCAGCATAATGTCTCAGGCAGCTTAGGAAGGTCACCCAGAGGCAGGTCTAGATGTGCTGACAGGGAAAAACGTTCCGGACAGATGCTTAAAGAAAAAAAGGCGGATTGCCAAGTGAAACGCACGGAACTATCTCAGTTATGAAAAAACAAGCAACCAAAACACACATAATCGGAGGATTGTAAGGACACCCATGTAATTAATAGCTCGGTTTGCCTTCTCAGGGAGCAGTGGGCATGCGGTCGGTGAAATAAAACCGCTTTGTGCTCGGTTTTTTGATACACTTGATCTTAGCCAAAAGACTGGGAAGCCATGTGTGCTCAGTATTTTTTTTTTAAATTACAGTCACAATAAAGTGACTGTATTGCTTCTCTAATTAAACAAATGACCAAATAAATAAGTGAAGATGTCCTGTTTTAATAAAAGCAAATAAACAAACAAGTTGGTTTTTCCAGAAGCAGAGGCCAAGATGAAGATTCCTGTCCAGGTGATTTATTAAGGAAGCACTCCCAGGAGACTCTGGTAAGGGAGTGTGGGAAGCAGGACCGGAAAGGGCAAACAAGGATGTGATTTCAGATAAAACCCTGAGGGGGCTGTAACAACTGCCTGATCCTGCCGGCAATTCCGGAGTGGAAATACTGAGTTGTCTGGACTCTAAGGCAAGGGAGCTGGGCTTCCATTCCATTCTGATCAGTCACTGGCTAAAGCATGCCCAGTGGGTGGGGGCGGGGTGGAGGCCAATCTGCAACTTAAACTCCAGGTACTTCCAGCTTTCTGTAGGGCACTGCAGCACCAGCAGCCCAGTCTCCTGAAGGAGACTCTTGGGGGGGGGGGGGGGCCTTTAGAAACTTAATCACCAGCACCAAAACAAGGTGAAGGTCACACAGAAAAGATAAAAGAGGTCCAAGAAAACCTGGATTGAGCAACAACAATGTCCATTACAACATTAAACAATTTAATAGGCACCCCTGGCTGGTGTGGATCAGTGGACTGAGTGCCAGCCTGTGAACCAAAGGGTTGCCTGTTTAATTCTCAGTCAGGGCACATACCTGGGTTGTGGGCCAGGTCTCCAGGAGGTGGCGCTCGAGAAGCAATAGCTTCTCAGAGTAAAATCCAACTTCCTCTCTATGGCCCACCAGGCCCCTCAAAACTGGCCTTTGCTTGACCTGCTGAACTCATCTCTTCTTGCCTCTCCCACTCTATTGCACTTCTTCCCACTTTGGGAGATGAGGAGTTCTTTCGGCAAAGAACTCACCCCTGTGGCTTGCTCCCTAACTTCATGAATAACTCAATTCCCTGTGATCTCATCTCTCTGAGGCTTCCATCCCCACAATTCCAAGTCCAGTAGAAAAAAGAGAGCTCTCTTGCCCAACAGTTTGGACACAAGTCTAGGGCTATCACTGCTCTAAATTGCATTGGGGTGCATCCCTGAACCAATCACTGTTGTCAGGGGCTGAGATGATCTGATTGGTTAGGCTGGAGTCACATGGCCACCTGGAGCTAATGCAAATGAGAGCTCAGTGGAGGAAGTCAGATTTCCCAGAGAAAAATCGAGGTCCTCTTACCAGAAGGTGAAGTAATGCTGGGCAGAAAGATAACAGATGTCTATTTTCTGGGTTTGCCCAGTGCCTGACATAAGAAGTGTTTGGGGGAAAAAAAAGAAAAAAGCCAGCTTGCATTGCCTGCAAGAGTGCCCCTGGGGAATCTCCTTTATCAATATTCATTCATGCAAGAAATTTTTATTAATATCACTCAATTACAGGCTCCATCCATAGGGAACCCCCGCTACTCTTTTGAATCAAAGCGAGATAATGTAATAGGTTATAGGATATATCTAGAACAGTGCCTAGCATTCATTCAACAGTATTTATTGGGCTTTCATTAGCATCAGAGAGGAGCTCAGATCACAGATCTGAATACAGTAGGTGGTTCCTCTCCTTCTGGGGCCTGTGTTCTAGGAGAAAAATGACATAAAAAAAAGAAATTACATGGAGTCACAAGCCACTCATAAAGGCTGACACCTTCTAGCAAGAAAAATTGAGTGGCCTGGACCATTTCTTTTAAAAATATACATTTTATTGATAATGCTATTACAGTTGTCCCATTTTTCCCCCTATCCCCCCTCCTCCCAGTACTCCCCTTCCCTCCAGCAATCCCATCCCTCTGAGTTCATGTTCATGGGTCATGCATATAAGTTCTTTAGCTTCTCCATTTCCTATACTATTCTCAACATCTCCCTGTCTATTTTGTAGCTGCCAATTATGCTTCTTGATCCCTGCACCTTTTCCTCCATTCTCCCCCTTCCCCCTCCGCACTTATAATGCTCCAGATGATCTCCATGTCTGTGATGCTGTTCCTATTCTAGTTGTTTGCTTAGTTTGTTTTTGTTTTTTTAGATTCAGTTGTTGATAGCTGTGAGTTTGATGTCATTTTAATGTTCATAGTTTTCATATTCTTCTTCTTAAATAAGTCCCTTTAACATTACATATAATAATGGCTTAGTGATGATGAATTCCTTTAACTTTAACTTGTCTGGGAAGCACTTCCATTCTAAATGATAGCTTTGCTGGATAGAGAAATCTTGGTTGTAGGTCCTTGCTTTTCATTACTTCATTACTTGGAATACTTCTCGCCCATCCCTCCTTGCCTGCAAAGTTTCTTTTGAGAAATCAGCTGACAGTCTTATGGGAACTCCTTTGTAGGTAACTGTACCCTTTCCTCTTGCTGCTTTTAATATTCTCTCTTTATCTCTGAACTTTGGCATTTTAATTATGATGTGTCTTGGTGTGGTACTCTTTGGGTCCAATTTGTTTGGGACTCTCTGTGCTTCATGGACTTGTATGTCTATTTCCTTTGCCAAATTAGGAAAGTTTTCTTTCATTACTTTTTCAAATAAGTTTTCAAACTTATTTTTTAAGTAAGTTTTCTTGCTCTTCCTTGTCTCCTTCTGGCACCCCTATGATTTGGATGTTGACACTTTTGGAAATGTCCCAGAGCCTTCTTATGCTCGCCTCATTTTCTGAATTCTTGTTTCTGCATTCTGTTCTGGCTGAATGTTTATTTCTTCCTTATGTTCCAAATTGTTGATTTGAATCCCAGCTTCCTTCCCTTCACTGTTGGTTCCCTGTAGATTTTTCTTTATTTCACTTAGTGTAGCCTTTATTTCTTCCCTTACGTTTCTGCCGTACTCAGTGATTTCTCTGAGTATCCTCATCACCATTTTGAGCTCTGCATTTGATTTGGGGTGTTTGTTCTGTTCTTTCATTTGAGCCATATTTCTTTTGTCTCCCCAACTTGGCAGCCTCCCTTTGCTTATTTCTGTGCATTAGATAGAGCTGCTTTGACTCCCTGTCTTAGTCCACCAGTCAAAGCAGAAGGAGCAGAACCTTAGGTATTTGCCAGGGAGAGGCAACACACCTCACTGCTTTGTGGTGCTGTGTGGTGGGGAGGGTCGAAAAGGGGACAGTGCCACTGCCTGGCCCTGGAGGCGTGCCCGGAAGTCACCCTGTTTCCGGTCACTTCACCCACTTCCCGTATGCAACTGGTGCCCTTCTAGTCGCCGCCCTGATGATGATTCCCAGAGTAGGTGGGTTTGCATATATTCTAGGATTGTGCAGGCCCTTTAAACAGATTATCCTAAGAACGTGGCACTTTTTTCTGCTGCCCCAAACCGTAGTGGTTTTTTTTTAAGATTTAAAAATTTTTAAATTTATTTTTAGAGAGAAGTTGGGAAAGGAAAGAGAGGGAGAGAAACATCAGTGTTTGGTTGCCTCTTGCATGCCCCCTACTGAAGACCCAGACAGCAACCCAGGCGTGTACCCTGACTGGGAATCGAATCAGTGACCCTTTGTTTTTCAGGGTGATACTCAATCCACTGAGCTACACTAGCCAGGGCCAAACCCTTCCAGTTTTTATAGCCAGCTGTTTTGAGGCTTTATCTTCCTGGCACTGGAACCCCAGGCTGTGTGGTCTGGCCCAGGGCTAGGATTGCTTGCTCCCAAGGCATCCCTTCTGATTTTCATCCACACGCCTGGATGTGGGACTGCCCATTCCACCACTGCCACCGCCTCCCCATGCAGCACAATCCCTTCTCCACCCCAGCTCCCTGGCTCCGCCCCTCCTGCCCGCCCGGATGAATGTGTCTTCTTTAAATCCTTGATTGTCAGGCTTCCACGCAGTTCGATTTTCTAGCAGTTCTGGGTGTTTTTTGTTTTGAGTTTAATTGCGATTCTTCTTGTGGTTGTGGGACGAGGTAACGTGTATCTCCCTACACCTCCATCTTGACTAGAAGTTGGGCCACTTCTTTACTGAACAGCCTTTTGTATCTTTAGAATTGTGTACTAGTATTAATCATTTTTTAAAATACTGATTCATTATTTTAAAAGTTATGCCATAAGGAGATGCACCACACCCATTAGAATAGCTACAGTAAAAAGATTGCCCAGCCACACGCTCAGGAGGATGCGGAACTACTGAAATCCTCATACATTACTGATGAGAATGTAAAATGGTGCAACCACTTTAGAGACTCTTCAGCAGACTTTTAGAAAATTAAACATACCACTACCCCATGACCTGGCAATTCCACTCCTTTACCCAGGAGAAATAAAAAGTCATGGACGCAGAAAGATTTGTGTGAGAATGTTCATAGCTTAATACTGGCCCCAAAATGAAAATACAACTACCTAACCTCCATCAACAGAAAGCAAATTATGGTAGTGTTATGTAATGAAATGCTACCCATTTTTTTAATTTGCTAATATACACAGTAATATGGATGAATAACAAGGACATTATGCTGAATTAAAGAAGCCAGATTTAAAAATACCATATTGTGTGATTTGCATTATATTAAGTTACAGAACAAACAAAACTTCTCGGGGTGGCAGCAGCAAGAACAGGGGTTGCCTTGCGAGGGGGTGCAGTGCACTGAGAAGGAGCGCAGCGAACTGCATGTGTCGCTGGATATGATCTAAGTCTTCACGGAAGTGTTAGTTGCAGGAGTGTTTTCATTCGTCAAGATTCATAGAGCTGCATGTATAAGTTCTGTGCATTTCGTTGAACGAAATTTATACCTTAACTGTTTTGTTTTTTTAAAAGTATTTGAATAGAGGAAATTACTGCATACTATGGAAATGTGCAACAGGATACCTCCACCAGGGGGTGATGTACCGGAGAGATCAGGAGACCGTGGGGCTTCAGTCTTTGGGAAGAGACAAGTTATCCCTGCAAAGTAGGACGATGGAGGAGAGTGAACAAACGTTCACTTTATACCCACAGCTTCCCTAGTCGTTTTTGCGTTTACTGTCACAGTGACCCTTCGGTATCAGCATTTTGGCTCCCATTTTGCAAGTGAAGAAACTGAGACTCAGGGAGGTCAGAGGACTTGCTCAAGGCCAACTACTAGGACGTGGCAGGAGCCAGGCTTTAGGGCTGCATATTTGGTGTCGGTTTCCCGAAACAGAACCTGAAACCCTAACCGCAGTCTGTCCAGGTTGTGGGGGGCTGGAGCAAAGGAATGCTCCACAGAACAAAAGAAGGGCTGGGCTGCTGAGCTCGCCCCTCCCCCCTCCCCAGGCGCCAGCCTCCGGGTCTCCAGAGGGAGTGGGGTGGGGTGAGGGGCGCCAAAGTCTGGTTCCACTCCGCTGAGTCAGCGGCTCCCCGGCCAGCCGCTCGTCTGCTCTAGAACAAAGAGTCCCTAGGGTTGGGGGTGCGGGGCCCCATTCGAGGGGGTGGAGGCGGGGCTCAAGCCTGGGACCGGGGAGCCGCGGGGTCCCACGCCGGCAGGTGAGAGAGGAAACCGGAGGGGCGCGGGCGAGAGGTGGTGATGGGCGGGGCCCGATCCCGGGGGGCTGGGTGGGGCCGGGAGGGGGCGCCCCGGCGCCTGGGAGTCCGCGGGGAGACGAGAAGGGGTGGAGACGGGGGCGGGGCCCGAGCTCTGGACTAGACGGAAGGAGAGCAGCGGGTCCGGGAGAGTGACGGGGGAAACGGGGCGGCTGGGCGGGCCGAGTCCGGAGCCGGGGTGGGGTGTACGGGGAGGGCGCGGGACCTGGCGCCGCGGGAGGGGCGGGATGCCGAGTGCGAGCGTAGGGTGGCTCCTGGCGGCTGCTGTTCGTTGCTCGCTCCTCGCTCCGTAGCCCCACCTGCAGGCCCTGCCAGCCCGGGAGCGGGTCGTTCTCCTGCCCTGGTCCTGCTTCCTGTTCTGTGATACGGACGATGAGCGGTCTTGTTTCGCACGGTCTTTGGACAGTGGGTTGAGAGAATGGAAATGAAGAGGAAGGCTTGTTGTTATTCCCGTAACTAATGTGTTTTGTACTTGCTAGG